AATAGCTGAAAAGTCGAATAGTGGAAAAGTCGAATAGTCGAAAAGTCGATAATCGAAAGTTAAAAGTCAAAAGTCGAAACCTGAATCGGCAAAAACTCGACAATTGAAAGTTACAAGTGAAAAGTCGAATAGTGGGAAAGTCGAATAGTCGAGAAGTCGAATAGCTGAAAAGTCGAATAGCGGAAAAGTCGAATAGTCGACTACTGGAAAAGTCGAATAGTGGAAAAGTCGAATAGTCCAAAACTCGATAATCGAAAGTTGAAAGTAAAAAGTCGAATAGTCTAATAGTTCAAAGTCAAAAGTTGTAACTCAGAAATCGAATCGAAAAGTCGATAATGGAAAGTTGAAAGTCAAAAGTCGAAAAGTCGAAAAGTCGTAAACGAAAACTTGGGATTCAACCGTCAAATAGGCGAATACTCGAAAAGTCGAATAGTCGAAAAGTTGAAAGTCAAAAGTCAAATAGTCCAAAAGTCAAAAACAAAATACTGAAAGTCAAAAGTCGAATAGTCAACAAGTCGAAACTCAAAAGTTGAAAGAGAAAAGTCGAATAGACGAATAGTCGTATAGTGGAAAGTCAAAAGTCGGATAGTCAAAAAGTCGGTAATCGAAAGTTGAAAGTCAAAAGTCGAATAGTCGAATAGTCGAAAGCCGAATGGTCGAAAACTCGAAAGTCAATAGTCAAAAAATCGAACAGTCAAAAAGTCGATAATCGAAAGCTGAAAGTCAAAAGTCGAATAGTCGAAAAGTCGAAAACGAAAACTTGGGATTGGATAGTCAAATAGACGAAGAGTCGAAAAGTCGAATAGTCGAAAAATTGAAAGTCAACAGTTGAAGAGTCGAAAAGTCGAAAGCTGAATCGGCAACAAGTCGATAATTGAAAGTTGAAAGTAAAAAGTCGAATAGTGGAATAGTCGAATAGTCCAAAAGTCGATAATCGGAAGTTGAAAGTAAAAAGTCGAATAGTCTAATAGTTGAAAGTAAAAAGTTGAAACTCAAAAGTCGAATAGTCGTAAAGGTTGGACTAGTAAAGTTGGAAGTCAAAGGTCGAATAGTGGTAAAGGTGAAACTCAAAAGTTGAAAGAGAAAGGTCGAGTGGTCGAATGGTCGAAAGTCAAAAGTCGATAACCGAAAGCTGAAAGTCAAAAGTTGAAAGTCAACAGTCGAAGAGTCGTAAAGTAGATAATCGAAAGTTGAAAGTTAAAAGTCAAACAGTCTAAAAACTGACAGTCAAAACTAGAAAGTCAAAAGTCTAAGGCGATAATCAAAACTTGAAACTGGATAGTCGAGCAGTCGAATAGTCAACAAGTCGATAATCGAACGTTGAAAGTCAAAAGTCAAACAGTCTGAAAGTCTGAAAGGGAAAAGTCGAATAGTCGGAAAGTTTGCAAGTCAAAAGTCGAATAGTCGAAAAATGGAAAGTTAAAAGTCAAAAGTCGATTTGTCCAAAGGTCGAATAGTCGAAAAGTGGAAAGTCAAAAGTTTAAAGTCAAAAGTTGAAGAGTCGAATAGTCGGAAAGTCGAATAGTCAAGAAGTCGATAATCGAAAGTTCAAAGTCAAAAGTCGAATAGTCTAAAAGTTTGAAAGCGAAAAGCCGAAGAGTCGGAAAGTTTTAAAGTCAAAAGTCGAATAGACTTTTCGACTTTTGACTTTTGACAACTTTCGATTATCGACTTTTTGACTATTCGACTTTTGACTTTCAACTTTTGACTTTCCACTTTTCGACTATTAGACGTTTGCACTGTTCGACTATTCGACCACTCGACTTTTCAGTTTCAACTATTGACTTTCGACTTTGGACTTTCGACTTTTCGACTTTTCGACTATTCGACTATTCCACGCTGCACTTTCAACTTTTGACTTTCATATTTTGACTTTCGACTTTTCGACTTTTGACTTTCAAGTTTCGATTATGGACTTTTTGACTATTCGACTACTCGACTTTTCAGTTTCAACTTTTGATTTTCGGCTTGTTGACTTTTCGACTATTCGACTTTTGACTTTCAACTTTTGACTTTCAACTTTTCGACTATTCGACCATTCGACTTTTCAGTTTCAACTTTTGATTTTCGGTTTGTTGACTTTTCGACTATTCGACTTTTGACTTTCAACTTTCGATTATCGACTTTTTGACTATTCCACTCTGCACTTTCAACTTTTGACTTTCATATTTTGACTTTCGACTTTTCGACTTTTCGAGTTTCCACTTTCAACTTTTCAATTTCGACTTTTCGCCTTTTCGACTTTCAACTTTCGATTATCGACTTTTGGCGTATTCGGCTTTCGACTTTCTACTTTTGACCTTCAACTTTTAGAGTATTCGACTTTTGACTTGCAACTTTCGATTATGGAGTTTTTGACTATTCGACTTGTGACCTTCATCTTTTGCTATTCGAATTCTCGGCTTTTCGACGATTCGACTATTGGACTTTTCGACTAAATTATTATTAATGGCATTTCCATTAATTAACTCATATGTTCGTCAAAATGGTGCATGGGCCGAAACCAACTTGGGGTTTCTCACTGCTGACTATTCCCTGCATGTTGAAAATAGTCCGAGTCAAAAAGCTTTTAATCATCTCGTGAGGTTCCCTCGTCAGTCATACACGAAACTGCTCTGTGTTGATGTCTGAAAATATCTTTTTGCTTAGAGTCAGTTTTGAGATCGTGTGAGGGTGACAAAGTGTGAAAAAAGGTTTTTCTCATGTGATCTGTTAAACATAATTAAAACTAAAGTTTCAAAGTTCTTCGTTTACTCAAGACATAAATTCTCAATTTTTTTGAAAGTTGAGGAAAATGGAAATATCTGGGACAGAGTTGCCAGTTTGTCTACATTTTCTGCTTTTGCTGTTTTTCCGCTGAGTTAAAAATTTGTTTAAAGCCATCGTTATCATACATTGAAATTTATAATTATTTCTTATCAACACTAGAACTAATTATACTTATTCATTCTAATAAGAACTATACAGTGCAAATACAACATACATGTGAATTAAAATCGAGATTTATATTTCTGTTTGTTGTTCTCTTATGTTTTATTGACTAAAATCACAAAGTGCTAGAGAAAACATCTTTTTGACTCTCTTTGTGTGATGTGGAATGAGATAGACCATGAAAATGTATTTCTGTTTTTTTTCCACATTCTGATAAAAATTTCTGTAATTTTCCGCATTTGTGACTGAGCATCTAGCAACTCTGATCTGGGAGTGTATGCTTCTCCTGTCTAACAATATGAAGTTCGGTTTTAGCACAATGTCGCATGATTTATTAATAAAATTCGGTGGACCGTATTTAGAAAAAATCAGAAAGTGAAATATTTTCGTTGGCAACGTTCTTTGAAAGATATTTTATCATGGTATCTATGACTTGTCCACATCGCACCTTGTTTTTAATTTTTTTTCTGCTCTCGAGAGTTTTTATTTTATTTCATTATTATTTTCAGAGCTCTTGAGTGCTAACCACGTTAAGAAAGAATGTAATGCTATAATAACGTAAAAGGAAACTTCCAGTGCTCTGTGAGTTGAAAGAATTTTACAGAAATCGCACAAACGCTAACGATTTAGTACATACAAAAACGCTTTATCTTTAGGCCAAAAAGAAACTTAATCTGGCTTAGTTTTTCGAAAACGCCTTGTGCATTTTTCTATAGGTCTAGTTTCGAATGCTATAAGGGAATTTTTTCCCGTTGTATTCTGAAAGAATAAAGCTTATATCAATTGTATGAACACTAACTCTGTGTACAGTGTACACGCAAATACATCCTAAATAGAGAAACGAAAAAAAGAAACATATGGATGTCTTTTTTGTACGAAGTCTATATTTCGTTGACACTTTTATATTTTGTTGTATAGCCTAAATAGAGCTTTTAGGTCACATAGACTCATACAGGTCTATTACGACCTATATATATGTCGCAGGAGAAATTAAAATTCAGGAAAATTTAAAATTTTCCTAGGAAAAGATGAAATTTTACTTTGTCCTAGACCAAATTAAAATTTTAACTTTTCCTTAGAGAAATTTTAAATTTTCCTAAACAAAAATGTTAAAGTTAATATTTTAATTATTCCTATAGGAAAAATTGAAATTTCTTTTGATGTCAGACTGACTAGACGGAGAGAAAGAAGGAAACAAAAATCATCCACATAACTAAATATTGTTTTCATCAGTCAAGTCAATTTTTTCTTGTCGCAATGGAACGTTTCTACACTTTACTCGATAACCATATCGAGTCTGTAAATCACAAGTTTCGGGAGAAATTTTCGATAAAACAGTCGATGTATGATGATATAATTCTGGTTCTTCGAGACGGTTGGGGGGACGCTCAATTTAAGTTTTGGGTGCACAGAAAGTCACGAAAGGGTCGGTCATCATGGAAGAGACAAGACGTGGATTGAGGTATGAGAAAAACATGTGTAAAATTAGGGTCAATGTAACCTTGTTTTTTAGGTGAAAGATCAATATTCATGGATACCACTCTTTAGTGTAAAATTATTTATTTCACAGTGTGATGCATGCAGTAACAGGAAAGTATTCCCAAAATCAGCAGCAGGTATGTCAGAGTGCATGAGCAAATCAATTAGTAGAGTAGTATTTTTCTATTCGAAGACAAACTGATTGTATCTATTGGGTACCTAACACGACTTCAAATGGATTTGATCGATATGCGAAGTATCCCAGATGACGAATACAAATGGATTCTCCATACAAAAGATCATTTTTCTAAATTTTCTTGGGCTTATCCGTTAAAATCAAAGGAAGCTGAACCTGTTGCTGCAAAACTCCTGCAACGGTTTTATTCATCTGGAGCACCACGAATATTACAGTCAGATAATGGAAAAGAATTTGTGGCTAAAGTTATTAAGGTACTAAGTTAGAATTCGCTTTACATGATCTTTCATATATTTTATGCACTAAAATAGGACTTAAAAAACACCTGGAATGATCTTGTAATTATCAATGGTCGCCCTCGTCATCCTCAAACACAGGGCTTAGTTGAGCGTGGTAATCAGACACTGGAATCAGCTCTTGGCAAATGGATGCAATCAAATAATTCAACGGAATGGTCTAAAGGTAAATGCAGAGCTTGAGAATCATTTTGAGGAATAGTAGTACCAAAACTTTCTAGGTTTGGCTTCAGTTGTATATTCGATAAATACTAGTTCTGCCCAATCTATCAAAAAATGTCCCTACGAAGTGGTATTTGGTCAGAAACCAAGATGTGACATCGAAATGTGGAAATTGTTATCCGATAAAGCCGTGTTAGATGAAGAACAACTTCCAGATGACTTTATCGATGAACTGAATGAACGTGAGTTATTGCTGTCTGGGGTCAGGCTTAGCAGACGTATACCTGTTATATTTTAGTAAATTTACATGAACCGGAGATTGATGAAAAATCTGATGAATCCAATTCAAGTAGTATCAAAGATCTGCAAAGTAGAGCGATGGTTAATAGTCTAACAAATGTTTTAAAAGCGACAGATCCAACACCTCAAGCATTAGATTTAAGTTTAGCAGTACCATCCTCGCCAGTACTGACTCTAACGCCTAAATCCAAAAATCGACGAAGAGCAAGAATTTTTTCAAATATCTCAAGTCCAGTTTCACGTCATTCAGTTTCTGAACAAAATGAGCATATCAGTGAAGGTAAAATAGAGTGTAGCATCCTGATAGAAACTCTTCTGATATATTTCTTCAGGTGACGAATCTATGAGTCATAGCAGCCATTCAATAAGTGGTCACAAACATATACGAGCTCAAGCGGAAGCCGCTTACATGGCCACCATTGCTAAGCGACAAAAAAGTTTCAACGAAAAATTTTAGGGGAGAAAAACCTGTAAATCTTGGTTTTGCACTCATCTTCGAAGGACTTCAAAATGGATCATGGGTGCATTAATTATGCATATGGCCATGTGTAGAATTTAATTCTGCATCATTTGGTATGAAAATAAAATTATTCGAATAAAAGATGAAAACTGAAAAACTCCTATCAATTGTTGAACAATCTATATGCTCACTAAAAAAAGTAGCTTCGAAAACCAGAATAGAGCATCATAAAACTGCTGAGGAAGAGGTTAGATTTACACACCACAAAACCAGTTAAACAAGTTCATGTATGTCATAGCGCCTCTCAGTTTAATTTGTCATGAAGAGTTTCATATTTAGATTAACACGTGTGAGATAGAACAACTTTTTATAGGAGAATCTAAGATAGTCCTCAGAACTGATTCATATCCTTATTTATAAGAAATTCGCTAAATAAACTTTTTGTCACACATATCTGTGATGCAACAACATTTTCTGATCTTAATTGTATTTATAATTCATTTTCTCTTTTATTAGCACTAATCAAAGGAATCATTTTTTAGACCATGTTTGTTTCTGCTGTCAACACCGCAGAATAGAATAATTCAATAAGCAACTAAAAACACTAAAAGAAAGAACGAACGAATCATTGTATATTGAAATGGCGTGAATGATGTATAATGGATATTTTCAAGATAAAACACATATTTGACTAATTTCAGCTTTGTTTTCTATTAGATGATTTATTTCCTCAACAGTTAAATTTGGAACTCGATGTGGTCTTCAAACTGAACGGATCAAAATGTTTTTAATCGAATTTTGTTTGGACTTCTGATAGTCAAGGTTCCAAAGAACCACCTAAGAAAGAGACATCAGCAGAAAGGAATATTAGAATCAGCATCAAAAGAGTAACCATGAAAATGTTTTTTATCCAAAAAAGCGATGAGCACTTGGAAATGGTACCTCGTTAGTAAGAAGTTAGGTGAGACATAAAGCGTACATGCCGGAACGGAATACCTCTTATATTCTCATTGATTTGGGCTGAATTTATCTGCTTTTCCAGTTCCATTAGTGCTAATGTTAAAGACTGCAGATGTCAATTACTGAGTAACCAGGGACGGGCGACCGCCCGGGCCGCTACAAAGCAAGGGGCGCCGGAGGCGCCTTGATTTTGTAATAAAGTTATTATTTTTTTGTTTTTTTTCGGGAAGGGGTGCGGGCGCAAAAATAAATTTTCGCCCGGTATCATACTTTTGCTCGCGCCGTTCCTGACTGAGTAGGCCAGAGTGAGACGCTGACGATGAGAGTCAGTAAAATGGCATGTACAGATTTTTGTTCACACATTTCACCATATATTGATACTGTGAAATAAGTTCATTTAGGTGAAATATATTTTCAACTAAGAAACACATACCCTTGATAATCAGTTAATTTATGTTGGATAATTCTGTTATAACATTTGATTCGGCTAACAGCCGATCATTCTCAGGAGACAAAAGCGAAAGAAAAGCATAAAACTTTTGAGTTTTCTTTAATTACGCGTTTTAAGTGTCTTTTTCGGGCCTGTCACGTTGCTTAGTGAAAATGGAAAATGTCTTTCATTTTTGTACCACTTTTGAGAAAAAACAGTATCACTGGTCATAAATTCATAACTCTACTTATAATAAGCGCCTGAATTTTCTGAGAAACGATCGTGACTTATTTGACGTCATGTGCAGCATACTTCATTTTCACGATAGCAAGGAATTTCTCTGAACTGATTTTAGTTGTCTATATGGACATTTGATCTTAGCAGAGCTTGAAGCGGGAAGCGCTCATCCTGCTTTTAAAATTTGCATCTTTCACCATCAAGGCGCTACTTTATTTTAGAAAAATATTACACAGCAAAAAAAATTGATTTTGCCTGAGAAATTTTAAGGTACCAAAAATTTGTTACCCCTCCTGCTGCAAACATCGAGCTGGACTCTGAAATGTTTAACTCATAATGATTCATGTCTTTGATACCTGCACGATACCGCCGCATACTGTTTGGTACACTGTGCGGTAATTTTCCAAACACCGGCAATCAAAAAGAGAATATCGATGATAGATTTTCAAGATTTTTAATTTTTTTTTAGACTGCCAGCGTGGTATTCAAGTCAGTCGGTATTCAAACTGTCTCTCTGTAACAACAGTCAAAGTTCATGTACTTCGACGAATTCGAGAAAAAACTTGGAAATTTTTCAATTTTGCCCTTGAGTACCGCTGTTTACAGACGGTATTAAGTAAAAAGGTTCGTTTTTGAGGGATTGCCATGTCGGAAATCGAAATTTGAACAAGAAAACGCTCAAAAACTCTAAGTCAACACTTGTCGAACTTTTAGACCGAGAAAGGTCGTGAAGAAAAATAAAAAGAATTGTGCAAGGCTCTTCTTGAAATTCTAGATGTGCATTACGATTGCAGAAAGGAATCGGAAAACATATTCAATGCTTTTTGTCTTACAGAGAGTTCAAAATTGGATATAGTCGAAAATGGGTTCCAGCAAAACGACTGTCATCCGAACACCTATATGCAATCCAAAAGCTTTTCGCATCTTGAATTTGGCACAAAGTGCTGAAATGAAAAAAAGTCGCTTTTATTGAGACACAATATAACACCGCTTCCAAAGCTATACCATTTTGGACAAAATAAAAGTCCTGAATCTTCTAATGTGATAACTCCTTCACAAAACCTGAATATACCTTCAGGTTTTGTGAGAGAGAAACAAGTGGCGGGAAGATAAAGGGTTAATTAGAGCTATTTGGCGCCAAATTCGGATTTCTCTTTTGCGCTCGAGTCTGTTTCTCTCACAATTGGCGGGACGATTCTAATTAGAGCTTTTTCTCAAGAAGTTATGCAAGAAACTGCACTTTTTCGTATCATATTAGTTTTGAGAAAAAGAATAGCTCTTTGGTTAATTTTAGGCATGGCAGCCATTTTGAATTTCTTTTGGTTGGCGCACAGAACCAGTTAAACCGTAGCCCATTCGTATGATACTATTTTCAGTGTTGAANTCAGTGTTGAAATAGTAAATTGAGCACTACAAATTATTTCGTTTAAAGTTAGATAAATCAGACAGAATAAATAAAGGGCAAAAAGTTCCATATCCGTGTTTAGGCGCGAAAACACTTTAGCAGTGGCGTCTAAAAATAGAGAGAAAATAATTTTGTTTTTTGAATGTCCCTTTTCCAAATTTTATCCTGAGTTAATATAAAATTAATTCTAAGATTTTATATATATATGTGAGTGTGTATCTCTGAGCCTGGTAAAAGTTCACACTTTTCATATGTAAGAAAATAACCCAATTTTAAAGAAACAATAATACAATTACAACAGACCTATTTATCATTA